AGCCTCTAATGATGCATCAGCAAACCCATGGATTTCCACCCTGACTGGGTTATCACACAAAACGTGACGAGTAATTTTCACATAATTCACGTGCTGAAGCTGCTCTCGAAATCGTTTCCAACTTGTATCTAAGTCTGCAGGTAAGGATTCATACCACTGGATTTTGCACAGCCATAATCTTTGCATCATAATTTTGGCTAGAATCACACACGGCCCAAGCAACCCTAAAGGGTCAAAGATTTGGGCTATTTCAGATAAAATTGTGGGTTTAGTCACTTTCTTAGAAAATTCAGTGTTGATATTGAACATCAAGCAATCTTCTTGGCATGCCCAATATAATCCAAGTGTTTTTGTCCGTTGGGTTTCACCAAAGGTCATAGAATTTCTCCCAGTTGAATTGCTGAAGTGTTGTAGGACTTCTATTTTATTTGAAGCCCACTTTTGGAGTATAAAACATGCTGAGCTCAGTATTTCTTGCACTTGGGTACACAGTTCTATAGCGTCCTCAACCGTATTTGCTCCTGTTAGCATATCATCCATGTAAAACGCATGGTTTATCACTTTGGATGCTTGCGGCGAAGAGGTTTCACTCTCAAATGCGAGTTGCTTCAAGCATCTGATGGCCAGGAATGGAGCTGAGGATGTTCCGTAGGTCACAGTTTGCAGCTCATAGGTGCGGAGCTGTTTTGAGGGATCATTTCTCCACAAGATTCGCTGGAACCTGCGTTGACTAGATTCAATTAATATTTGCCGAGACATTTTCACAATGTCCGCTCCGATTACCACTGAATGCTGCCTAAATCTAAGAAATATGGCAACAAGATATTCTTGTAATACAGGACCTGTATGTTGTATGCCATTCAAAGAAACTCCATTATCTGATTCACTCGAACCATCGAACACCACTCGGAGCTTAGTTGTGGGACTATTTTCGTTCGTCACTGCGTGATGAGGGAAGTAATAAGCGTTTTTCTCCTTACTTGTATTATGCCCCAAATGACAGTATTCCTGGAGAAAGTCGGTGTATTTTTCCTTAAGGGCAGGATTTTTGGATAGTCACTAAACAGTAACACTGCAAAATAGCAAAAGTTTGCCTTATCTATGTTATAGCGAAGAGCAGATTAACACGGCGAACTCATTGAAGGTAGGCAACCAGTATTGCAATAGTTTGCTCTGCTGATTGTAGAATAATTGTAACAATTTGAGCGCAATATATGTATACAGCTTGAAATTATTCAAATCGCTTGCTCTCAATCCATCAACTGGTGATTTTTCATAATAATGATAACAGTGAACTTAAAAAGAGCCATCCGAAGATGACAATATTTGAAGAGTTTTGTAGTTGAACCATACCTGCAGGCCCCAAACTGCAGATCTGACACTACCTACGATTAGGAGACGATCGCAATATGATACGATACAGTGGGCAAAGAAATTTATCGTCAAATAAGGTGTCCAGCTATGATTACGAATACTTTCGAATGCCACCTTATTTTCGGTACACCAATAGGCAACCACACTATGTAATGTTTGAACGTGAACGATCGATTTGCAACTCGTAAATAATGTATGTTTGCCTTACTCTTATGCCGCGTCACGACCACTGCGGAGCCATTACCATGATCCGAATTTGAAGAGTAGATTATTAGGTCAAATCATACCGGTAATTCCCAGGATTTACATTTCACACTGTCGGTGAAGATCCAACAAGAGAGACTACTATATTTATGAGGGAAGGGGTTGTTGGTCTTTACGATGTCCTGCAGTACTGAGTAGAATGAAGCTGGAAACACTTCCAAGATATGCCAGTTGCAATCATCACCTCGATCATCTCTCCTTACTGTCACGGATTTATAGCGACAGAAGGCAATCATCAAGTAGGTTGCACGTTCACCAATATTCAAATTATGGTGAATGTGTAGATGTTATTGCAAAGACAGAGAATTGGCAAGCACCATGTCCTAGAGATGACGCTGCTCAAACAAAAGATGGACAGGAAGGTGTTGATTTGATTAACGTATTTTCAACTTCAAACATAACGTCGGTTCATAATTTTCCCCAACATTTCCGTATTAATAATTATAATGATTATTAAAATAAACGGGTTCAATATGTCTTCAGCCTATGACGGAGATATTCCTAAGTTGAAGAGAAAACAGTACTTTAACTATGTCACAAAATAGCCTTCCTCATACATCTTTTCTTATGAAAATGCTGTTAATATTATTTGTAACTTTATTCAATACTCACATTTATGGGAAAAGTCCTATTAAGCTGTAACCACACTTTCTTTGGACAAAAGGCAGTGAAAAGTTCTTAATATGTATCTAAGCAGGCCAAAAACCTTCAAGATTCGTTTGAGCAATAAATGTGGAGCATACATAGATCACTAAAGTGATGCGAGATTATGGAAAACACGATATTCAAAAGATGTTTTATCATCCGATCCTTTTTTGTCCATTTTTATCACCTATGCTTGTATTCTTCATAGACAGCCACATACACACTTCAAAGAGTTGCAAACAATAACCAATTAATGGCTATCCAATACAGTGGATCGTATTGAAATTTTTTTTCTACATAGTCTGCTTCAAATTTCAAAGAATTCCAGGGTTTAGTGTCACTCAAAGTTTAAACTCAAATAACAAATGGTGTAACCAATTTGATTTTCATTGTTCTTCGTTTATTTTTTCAGTATCTCATCTTTTGGTGGATCATGAAAGGATGTTGTAACTTTATTTGATGCCTTTTATCACGGAGTGTAGTAATATTTATCGAAAGTTTAGTTTTCATTAGAGGCTCCATAAATAGATTTTAAGATTTACCTTTTTTCTATGAGTTTGAGTGCCCGGGGTAAGGCCCGTATCGTCAGTCGTTCCTAGAATTGTAGGGCGCCTTTGAGGCCTCCTTGATTGTCATAGTTTTCTACTCTTCCGTGTCAGCGCTCTATTTTGAGGTTATGTCACAAGTATCTATTTGCATCAAATTGTGCTTGTTTTTCAGTTATATCATGTCTTATCAGCCTGAAATTTCCTACAATTTAAAAAGAAAACATATCTTCACAATAAGAGAGCGCTGACGCTGACACGGGACAGGTGCAATCTAGAAATTTTTGAAGGAGAGAAAGCAGTATGACAATCAAGGAGGCCATAAACGCGCCCTTCAATTGTAGGAACGACTTACGATACGGGCCTAAGGTATGCAAAATTTACTATTAAATTTCACTGCTTTTAATTTGCAGAGAGTTGAAGTAGGTAGAGGCCAGACAAGTTCTTAAATAATAGAGGAGAGTGACCAAATATGGAATAAGTAGTATCCCTAATATGGAATACCGGCATTTCTATCAAATGGAAAATGACACACGCAGTAAACAGTGTTCGTCTCTGTCTTCGAGTCCGCGTTCACGCATACAAGTCGTAGCTTGTCAGTCTAGCGAGCCCGTTCATCACAGTCGCAGTGTTTCGTTTTGTCGCTTCCGCATAACTTTCTAAGGTACGTAAAAAACACGTATTTTTCTTACAAAAAGTGCATACAGTATTGTTGTTATAACTTCTAGACATAGTTTGGATGTTCTTTTGTGGATTTTAGCGGTATTTGATTGTATTATCTTATCAAATATAAAAATATAAATGTCAGTTTGCAGTCGTTGGGAGATCCAAATATGAACGAACCATAGTAGCTAATTATGGAATATCCCATAGTTGGTGCTTTTAAGTATCAGCTGATTTGATGATTCTGTTAATTTAAAAGTATGTTTTCTATTTTTCCTCAGAATGGCTGGCGTCAACTCAAAAACGAAACGAAAAGATTGGAATGCAGAGGACATGGCGCAAGCTATTACATTAGTAAGAGAGAAACAAATAGGTTATTTAAGAGCTGCAAAACACTTTGGTGTGCCGAGAACTACCTTGTTTCGATTATGCCAGAAAAACGAATCACCGCCAGAAGAAGCCGCAGCTACTACATTTGGGAGGAAAACCGTTTTAGGGACAACCGTTGAAAATCTTTTGGTAGACTATATTTTGACGATGGAGAGCAAATTCTACGGCTTGACGAGAAGCGATGTTCGAAGAATGGCGTACATGTTGGCAAAACGTAATCAGTTGAAAAATCCATTTGGTGACACGAGATTAGCTGGAAAGAAATGGCTTAAGCTATTTCTTAAGCGGCATAAGGACAAACTATCAGTGAGAAGACCAACTGGCACATCTTTTGCTCGAGCATTTGGATTCAGCAAAGAAAAAGTAGACACATTCTTTGATCTCCTTGAAGGCGTTTATGCTCAAGAAAACTATGGTCCACACCGCATATACAATATTGATGAATCTGGGCTTACCATAGTACAGAGCAAGATACCCCAAGTGGTTGGCCATTAAAGGGAAACGGCAGATAGCTTCACTTACCTCAGTTGAAAGGGGTTCATTAATGACAGTTGTTGTTGCTATGAACGTCACTGGTCATTTTGTACCTCCCTTTATTATATTCCCTCGCAAGAATATGAGTGCCCAGCTAATGAGAGGCAGTCCCCCAGGCGCTGTTGGTATGGCAAATCCATCAGGATGGATACAAATGAACATATTCACTGACTGGTTCAAACATTTCATTAAACATACCAACCCTACTCCGGAATCGAAAGTATTACTGATCCTGGATGGTCATGTTTCTCATACTCGTAACATCGACGTGATAGATCTTGCTAGGGAAAATAATGTAGACATTGTGTCCTTACCTCCTCACACAACCAACAAGCTCCAGCCACTAGATAAGACGTTTATGGGATCTCTCAAAACGTATTACAGTGAAGAAATACGAATGTGGATCAGAGACAATAATAGACCACTAAGCCCTTATGGTATGACGGTGCTGTTTGGTAGGGCTTATTTAAAAGTACAAACCGGTGAGATAGCAGCCAACGGATTTCGGGTTACAGGACTATGGCCATTGAATAAAAATATTTTTACCGCGGTCGACTATCTTGCTGCGCAAGAAGATGCAGTTAAAGATGGTTGCACAGTAGATGTTACACCAATGACATTAAGTCTCCAACCTTTAGAAGAATCGATGGTCAATCTTAGAACACCTGCTGATGGTAAGCCTTTAACTGAAGCTTCTACATCCAGACAAGATACAAATATTGAACCTGTGCCTTCAACTTCCGGAATTTCTCACAGTAGTTTAGGATTCGTTTCTCCATATGACATCAGTCCAGTACCAAACAAGAAAAGGAAACCTTCTAATAGAGGAAGAAAAGCATCTGTTGCAGCAGTCATCACATCGTCACGTTACAGGGAGGATCTCATAGAAAAAAGTAAGAAGAAAGAAGAAAAACAAAATAAAAGGCAAAGAATAAAAATCAAAAACAAAACAAAAAGAAATCAAAGGGTAAAAAGCTACGAGAAAAAATTAAATCTCAGTCAGATTCAGATGATGATGAGATGATGCTGTTTGATACAGACAGTGAGCCCGATGGGTTGATAGGAAATACAGCTCCAGACTCTGAAGATGCGGAGTGTATTTTCTGTGGCATGCTGTTTTCAAATGATACCCATGGGGAAACATGGGTCAAGTGCCTCACGTGTGGGCTCTGGGCACATAATGATTGCGCAGGACCAGAGTCTGATGCCTGGATTTCTGAGTTTTGCAAATAATTTGTGTTCCTTTTTATGTTATACCAACGTTTCCAAAGAATCTCATTTAAGTTAAGGTTAAATTTTGTTGTTATTTATAGTATTCCATATATACCTATTCCATATTTAGATACCTTTATAATTATTGATTTTTTGTTTTAAATTTTATTTAAAATTTGTCAATGTAACCAAAACTTGTTACAAAATAGAGCATAAGTATATGATTATTATTAATGACTACAAAATATTTTTTATTTGTAAAGTTTGTGCAAATTATGTGTGAAAAACAAAATGGTATTTCATATTTGGTCACTCTCCTCTAGTATGCCTAAATAAAAATCACATTTATCAATATTCATTTCACTTCAGTTATATCAGTGCTGCTTTTTTATCTCATACAACAGCTCGCATTCCGTAAGCAACTCCATTATTTCCTTTTTTTGATCCAAATGACAGTTTCGAGCGCCCAGCTCTATCGGACGGTATATCGGTACGTTAGACACATCATTAAACCTGAAAAAAGAAATCGGTTATTTTTTTAGTTACAATAAGACACGCCTTGTTACAGTCAAAGCTCACAATACATGTCACTTACATAAATCAACAAACAATTCGAATACAGTAAATAGAGCCAAACCAATATGTTTGTCGTCAAAGCTGTGCAGTTTTAGGGCCGTATCGTCAGTTGTTACCACAATTGTAGGACGCCTTTGTGGCTCCCTTGATTTTCATAGTTTTCTATTCTGTGTCAGTGTTTCATGTTGAGGTTATGTTACAGGTAACTATTTGCGTCAAATTGTTTATGCTTTTGATTTATATCATCTGTTCTATAGCCTGAAATTTCCAAGAAGAAAACATAGCCCAACAGTAGGAGAGCGCTGACGCTGACACGGAACTGTAGAAAACTTGAAATATCCCAGCCTTTCTGAAGGAGAGGAAATACTATGAAAATCAAGGAAACATTGAAGGCGTACTACAATTTAATGAGCCGTATTCATATACGAGAAGTATATCCTCAGAAGCATAAGGTAAAAGTATAAGGTCTTGCTTCGGAGAAAATGGTAGAAGTATAAGCATATCCTTGTTTTCATATTCATAATGATTACCTTACACTCGCGAGGATATCCTCCAAGAAGAAGTAAAAGGATGACTGGTATTTGTATCTTGAGTGACATGTCCTGACTTGTTCCAGCTTGTAGTTGACGTGGGAGTTTGTTCACTCTGCATCGCTGACAGTTGTACTCCAAAGCTTACACAGACCGTTCCGTATTTTTACTGGATACAGTTTTTTATCAAATTAATAAGCATGTCATCCTCAAGTGATGAGGAATCTATAGAAAATAATGGCAACGACCTGCAGTTCATCGCAGATGAAATTGTCATTGCTCCCATTATTTTGCAAAAGTCACAAGTTCCAAAAAAGATGAGAAGGGACGATGCCTTGAAGAAGATGTGGAAAAAATACGAATCAACATTCGGTAAACCATTAGATATTTATTAAAAAAATCAACAACATGAAATCAGGATTGAAGAAGAAAAACAGATAAACAAAAAACTGGTAATAAAGAAATTAATATGTTAGATTGGGTAAGAAAGTTGCTGAAAGCTATGGAAGGTGACTGTAATCCTACAATTGGGAAAATTAGAGGTGCTATTCAGGTTGGTAGTGTTCAAGAAGAAGGAAGTGAACTATATACCGAGCGCAGTGAGCAAACATTTAGTATTACAGCGCCAGCAATTCAGAAGACATTGCCACCAAAAAGAAAATTAGCAACAGAGAAATACGAAACTAAGGAAATCAAAGGGTTAACCACAAAATAACTGCAACGAGTAGTGCTATTACAGCAGTACCAAACAAGTATTTTACAACAAGAGTATTATAAAACGAAATTAGAAATGATGCAGCGTCACCAGCCACCTGTAACTTATGATGTTCACGAAAATAAAACTTAGTATAACTTATAAATATACTTTAATCAGTAAAACTATTTATTATAATACTCAAGTTTCTTCTTATTTCTTGAACTAGTTGGCGGAGAGGAAGTTCGTCATTCTCATGATTTCCCTCATCTTTAACTGGGTCTTGTTCAACTAACTCAAAGTCAGGATCGCCCAAGCTCTTCGCAACATTATTGAGTACAATGCAAGCAATAATTATTTTTGGCACATTTTCCAACTTTACGCGGCAAACATGCTGTAGGATAGGATACCGGCATTTCAGTTGGCCGTAACAGCGTTCATTTATAAGTCTTTCTTGTTTTAAAAGCTTATTATAATTTATTTCTGCACCTGGAGTAGGATCTCTGAAGGGAGTCATAAGGCATGGCTCAATACCATAACCGTCAACGCCAAGTAGTACACCGTTTGCTTTAGTTATTAGTTGTGATCTAGTCTGTGAATTTCTCCATATTCTGGAAGCATGTACTGATCCAGGCCAACTGACATCAACACTTGTGAACATCTCTCTGACATCACAAGTGGCTTGCACATTTAAAGTAGGTTTCCCTTTTCGGTTGATATACTCATCTCCATGGCGATTTGGTTTCCGGATTCCTATATGTGTACAATCAATTACACCAATTGCTGTCGGAAATTTATACATGCTTTGCCATATCCGCTTGGCCTCCATCAGTTCATGGTTGGTAGTTGGAAACTTGATCCATTCGTTCTGTGCAACTATGCTGTTCACAGCTCTATCCACACTCCGAGATACCGTTGATTGACTGACACCAAGTTCCTGACCAATACCTTGTTGATATCCAGGGTTGCCAAGATAGCGTAGACATATCTTCATTTTATGAATACATGAAAGTGCTCCTCTTCGAGTTTCCTCATTCTCAAATAAAAGTCTGTCCGCAAGCCATTGTACATTTGTTTCGTCGAACCGATATAATTTTCACGACCTAGTGAAGGTAAACGAGGTTTGTACGTTTTAACATCCCTAACATCCACAATTTCGGCCATCATCGTTTGACCACCTTTCGTTACGAAGTTGAGTCTTCTACTGACCAAACTCAGAATTTTTGAAGGATATGCTTCCTATGCCAAGTATAAAGTGAATATTATGCATATCCTTTTACTTATGTCACTGCTTTGAAGGGTATGCGTATACTCAAGAAGCAAAGGCATTTACTTCAAATTATTATAAATAAAATCTGGAGGATTTTCTCCACAACTTGCAAGTGCAAGGATATCCTTTGTTTTATGAATACGGATCATTGTAGGAACGACTGACGATACGGCCCTGAGTGTACACTTCTGACTAATTTGCCTGCCACTGGCTACTAAGTGACAAACCAACACATTCGCGTACATTACTATCCCTGTGCAGCATACTATATAAACAATTCTACTTAACTCGTGATTTCAGCACGAGAAAAATTGTTTTCATCAAACAGCAGTAATGGTGGAATGCCCGATATTCCGACCAGACTCTTGACTAAAAGCAAATATCAAATTGACCATAATATGGCTATTATTAAATTGTCACTATATCTAAGGAAAATACCACTTTTTCAGCAGGACAATGCACGACCTCATATCGCATGTGTTAGTTTAGACCTTTTAGAAGCGTCCGTAGTAAATCTGCTTCAGCGGCCTCTTCGATCTCCAGACACTTGTCCCATCGAACATGTGTGGGACATGATGGGAAGAAGGTTGCAAAATTCACCTCACCCTCCACAAGCATTGGAGAAGCTCTTCGAAACCAAATTCAGATGGCATGCGATACAATACACCAAGAAGACATCAATCACCTAATCCAGTCAATGCGGCGACGACTTATCGAATGTGTAGCGAACAGAGGAGCATCAACACATTATTAACATTAAGGCTATTTTGCGAAATTTCGAGTTAAATTGTTAACCACTCTCTATTTTCCAGTAGACCTAGAACTTGTAAAAGTGTGCTCAAAATTGCAGCACTCCTAGTCTACGTCATTCAGTATACATCAAAATCAGCTTATAACTGTCCAGTTAAAAGCTCGGCGGTAAAGGAAGTGCCCTTTTGCAGCACGGATGACATATTAACACTTATCAATAAAAAGATCTGCTTTATTCAGTTTGAACTGCTTTTTGCATTCTACAGAAACCTTCACGATTCTCGACAATCATTTGAAACACTAAAATTGTGTGGATTCCATATACTAAGCAGAAAAATAGGAGCTTTCATCCTGCCAACCGAGTACGTAACTTTGGTTCAAAACAAATCGTATGCGTGCTAATTTTGGCTAGTCTAGCCTAGTTCGTTGATGCTCACCCTTTTTGTTTACAATCCAGATTCATTAGCCGTAAATGGTCAGCTTTAACTCAACCTAGAATGGCTACTTTCTAACAATGCAATCTACCAGATCCAGCCCTTAAAGCCGGCTTTACCGGATGAAGTAAACGGTCAAGTTGAGCAGTAAAGTCAAGTATTCGTCTAGGCAACTTCGGTCAAGTAAAGTAGCGACTTGCGTCAAGTAACGAGGCAAGTCAAGTGGTTCTGCACAGTGAACAACTAACTTTACTTGACTGCTACCCCCACTTCACTGGATCGCCAACTGACCGTTTCTTTACCAATGTAAACAGAAAAAGAAGGAGTAAATAAGTTTTTGCGCATTGATTTTGGATTTGTACTCTGTGTCTTTTTAGATTTTTTACCCATTTTGATCACAGATAAGCAAATAATTTTAGTGATCTTGGTATACTACAAATTGTGAATTAAGGTTGAATTTGTACAAGATGAAGTGGTGCATTTTGTTGAACTCTACAGTGAAAAAGAGTGTTTATGGGAGAAGATTAGTCTAAATTATCGCAATAAAAAGATGCGAAGAGCAGCTGAAGAGGACATCGTGAACAGGATGGAAAAGATTTTGGGGTGGCAGTATTAAAGCAAAAAATAAAGATAATGGGAACAACCTATAATCAGGAGGCGTTGAAGGTTAAAAAGTCTAAGAAATCAAGAGGTAATCTGGATGATATATACGTTCCAACTGTCAAGTGGTTCCGACAAATGGAAGAAATAATGGATAGCTACACAGCTGAAAATGAAACGAAAAGCTTGCCAGAGCACTGCTCCTTCTTCAGAAATAAAATAATCCCTCATTTTGTTTCGCATGTGTTTTGCTATCTCCGACGCTCTCCTCTCAGGTACTTCCTGTATGTTTATCAGTTCTCGTATCTCTTTTCTCCACTGTCCAGGTATTACTTCACCAGTATGTTGGTTTTCACAATCAACCAATTGTGCATTATTGAAGTATTGGTCTGGTGACGTTTTTCGTAGCCAGTTGTGAATTGCAGTTGCAGTACTAACCAGTTTATTCACAAAGGAAACTTATCTTTACTTTTGTTTCAAAAACACGAAATCTACTTGCTCAGATCCCAAAACTATTTTACACTATTCTTCTGCCACGACTAAGCCCATAATTGAAAATACTTTCTTCATCGGTAAGAGGTAGTCGGTATCTACTATATGATTTAGGTAGATATGGTTTTAGTCGAAAAGCATCATCACCAACTAAAAAGTAACCATCGGGTGGTAATCATTCTTCTAGAGCTCCTGAAATTTCGCGCTTTGAAAAATACCACCATCTGAGTTAGATCCCTTTATCCCTACTTTAAAATAAGAAAAACAGTAATTGTTTTCTACAATTGCCATTAGTACCGCGCTGAAGGAGCCTTTATAGTTGAAGTATTCACTTCCAGTATGTGGGGGAGCCTCGATTAAGGCCCGTATCGTCAGTCGTCCCTACAATTGTAGGGCGTGTTTATGGCCTCCTTGATTGTTATACTTCTTTCTCTCCTTCAAACATTTCTAGATTACACTTGTCAGGTGTCAGCGTCAGCGCTCTCCTATTGTGAAGATATGTTTTCTTTTTAAATTGTATGAAATCTCAGGCTGATAAAATATGATATAACTTAAAAGCAAGCACAATTTAGGCCTTAGGCCCATATCGTCAGTCGTCCTTACAATTGTAGGGCTCCTTTATGGCCTCCTTGATTGTCATAGTTTTCTACTTCTGCGTGTCAGCGCTCTATTTTGAGGTTATGTCACAAACATCTATTTGCATCAAATTGTGCTTGCTTTTGAGTTATATCATGTTTTATCAGCCTGAAATTTCCTCCAATATAAAAAGAAAACATATCTTTACAATAGGAGAGCGCTGACGCTGATACGGGACAAGTGTAATCTAGAAATTTTTGAAGGAGAGAAAGGTGTATGACAATCAAGGAGGCCATAAACGCGCCCTATCATTGTAGGGACGACTGACGATACGGGCCTTAGACATGTTTGCCATCAATTGCACCACAACAGAAATTAAAATTCCATCTTGCTTCAAACCCATTCGCAACTTTTTCCATGCATCATGTGTATCAGGAACCTTAAAAAATAAACAAACTATAAAAATTAATCATTAAGCAAATGAGAAATATTAAATTAGTACTTCATTCATTTTAGGTAAGACAAATCGCTCCACCCAGCGAAAATGAAAAAGATCTGCTAGAGAAACAAGTCATTGAAGAACCGTCTCCAAATCTCTGGCAGACCCCTAAAGACCTTCAACCAGCAAAACATGCTCCCGAGTAGAATCGACTGGTAAAACAGATTCTCGAGTAGAAGCAGGATCAAAAAACAAAAAGGCACGGATAGAAGCACTAACCGCAGCTGTTGCAGAGGTCCGAAAAGTCCAGGAAACAATAGCTTCTGAATACATCAGTGACCATGAAGGTTTTTGGCAAGTTCATTGCAGCCAGCTTAAATAAACTGCCCCCTGCTGATTTAATCATGGCGCAAGGTAAAATTCAAAGTTTAATGCAAAAATATCGATTGAATGCGTTAAATAAGACCAGTTCTGCTTCTGAGGCTTCCGCATTAACTGCAATTCAATCACCAACCCTTTCTTGGGATTCACCTCCTGCAACTACTTCCGCATACAGCACTAATTACCCGGTCATGAACGAGGACACAGTTGCAAATGTTGATGCTGCTATCGGAGATATTATCTCGCAAGCATGGAGTTCGACAAACTGAATGTTACAATTGAATTTGTTTGTTTTTGTATTAAGAAGCCTAAATAAAATTTAAAAAATGTTCTATTATTATCTATTCACATACCTTTACGAAATCCTTTAAGCAGTCATACACAGTTTCACAAACAATGGGAATCACGATAGATATCGCTGATTTAGAAACTCGAAAGAGATGAGGAAGGGTTCTGTAATTATTACCAGTTGCTAGGTAATTCAGGGTTACTTCCAACATTGTTTCTGGTTTGATAGCGTCTCTCATAATAGTGTGCTCTCGTTGGATTAATGGAGTTATTAAGCCTAACAAATAGTCAAATTTTTCACCAGTCATTCTGAGCATCATTCTGTTTTCTTTAGGATCTTCAAATCTCAGCTCCCTTATTAAATTGGTGGAAGCTCTTTGACTTGTTCTCCACATGTAAGCCGTTCTCGACACCATATCCTTTTTTCAGGATGATTTCTCTCTTCCTCCAAAACTTCTTCCAGTTCATCCATGAGAATTTGGTGAGATTAATAACACAATTAATTTCGTATGGCAATACGACTTTCCACCATGTTTTCAACTGTCGACTTGCACACTTACTGGACTACGTGGAAACGCGCTTTTTAGATCGAGTAAAGTAGAATGCAACCACGCAAGTGCGAAGGCAAGTAACTTGACCGTTTACTTGACCCGTGTAGACCCGGCTTTAGAGTATTGTAGGAAAAATTTTGGTGGTTTTATCTGAAAGGTTTGGTGTTGATTATCGTATATGCTTTCTGAAAAAGAAAAAGAAATACACATTGGAGGAATGTATAGAATGTATAGAATGAAAATACGTATTTGGAGTAAAAGCAAAAAGAGTATACTAAAGTGAGAACAAAACCAGTAAGAAACCTTATATTCGCTTCTTGAACAGCCGCAACTGCTTTCTGACACACGGGATCGTCCTGGCATTCCCTATTGAATCCAAGATGCTGCAAACTGCACATGAATACGGGTCTGTCAGCCATTTCAATTACCAAACGGTCCAATGCGGCAATTTCGATCAGCTCAACTTCGTACCCCAAAGCACTCAAACAGTGAATCAGACCACGTATCTTTTGAATACGGTGCTGGATGAGACCATAAGCTTCATAGGGACCATACTTGATCTTCAGCATATTTTTGATATTATGAGGAACTGAATGTTACGATGACAGATTGTGAAAACGACAGATGTAAACTTCAACATCAGTTCATAGTAACATGTAAAACTCATGCTATGGTTTCCATGCTGTTAGAACTCCATGTTTTATGATCGAATGAAACCAAATGTGTACAAGTTACTCTGTACTGACGCTACAACCACTACTATAGCCTTCTTCAAAATACAGATCAACGAATATAAAAATATATGGTAACACTATACTTTGGCGCATATCGCGAATATCTCATTTCTTATTTTAAAAAAGATGTAATTTTTACGAAAATATCATTTTTTCTTCAAGCAACCCTCTGCTTTCTATTTTAAAGAACTTCAAAGTTGTACTTTGGTGGTAATATTCTAGAATAGAAATACTGTTTTATACGCTGTTTTTTTGCTTATTGCACAAAATGATGCTCTAAATTATAAGAATATAATATACACTGTATAGTACTGAGAAAAATAGATGTGAGACTGTAAAAAGTCGTTGGTTTAAAAAAAAGTTCAAAAACTAGCCGTATAATAAGCTAAAATGACTGTTCCAAATACATACCTTGAATGATGGTTTGGTAAGTCTATACTTTAGCGCATAAAGACCGAAATTGTTGTTGTTTTTTTTTTTTGGAAAAAATTGAAGAAATTGTCCCAATATCTACTGAAAATTACATGAAATTTTGAAGAGCACGTGTCTAAATATTGGAAAATGCACCAGCGGCTTTAGTAACATCAAAGATACAAAAGGGACCAGCGGTCATCGCATATAAAGGTACCGAACTTCGATTCGTCGATTTGGACCACGTCGCCAGGTCCACCCAACATACTACGATCGTCCAGCATTATTGTTAAATAAGGATCAACGACCATTTCATCAAATCCTCAAAAAACTTGCCATGATCCTCTTTGCTATGTTTTCATTATTTAGCGACTGGCAACAGCTACTTTTTCAGTAATTTCTTATAAGTAATATCATAAGGGCATCCAATTTTTTCGATAAAAATCGCAAAACACGTTGCTAAGTAATGTTTTAACAAGAAGCATGAGTGCCCGTGGCAACAAAAATCCCAGTGAAGACGAGGATTTTTACACCTACACGAATGTTTTATGTTAAAAAATCTTACTTTGCATTGTGTTTTTCTTATTTTTTTCACAGGAAAAAAATAGATACCCGAATGGTGTTTGACAAGACCATTTTATGAATCACAGATCTAGGAGACCATAATTACTTGTTATCAAAGGTATTGTAATTTTCGGTGACAATAGCTGTCAAGTTTTGCTGCGGATACATACAATTTTTCCATCTAGGAACCATTTGTAATTAAAAATTGCGCGTTTGTGACTGGTAGAAGTTAAGACGAAGAAAATTGTCATATATCACATTTAATTGGGTACATTTTGTGACATCAGCTTCACTTTAAATAATTCTTCAAATACATACAAAAACTAAATAGATTATAACTGTAACATATGAGAAATAAGAACCGAAGTCTTTAGCTATCTTAATGAGTACAGTAAAACTTGCCGCACACATCTCAAAATCGTATTTTCATGGCAATCCTGTGCCGATTGCACATTTTTGCGCTAGTATATAAGTAAGAATTTGACAAAATAAACCAAGGGATATTACTATCCATGATTTGGCAACATCGCAACTAGATGGAGAAATTATTATAGTGATGGTGGTGTAGTGATGGGGATATTTATCTGAAATAAACGAAATGACTAATTAACAATGATTTATTTTCATCATTGCAATGATGAACGATGTCATATGTTATATTCATATAATTTTGAGCACTATTTTGTATAAACAAGAAAGAACCAGATCATAAAGTAGTTTTCTATACCACAATTACCTTCCAAAATGCAACTTTGAACTTCTATAAAATAGCAAGAAGAGGATTCCTTAAGGAAAACATTATATTTTCATAGAGGTGACATCCTAATCTTTCATTTTAGAATCAGAAATGAAATATTTGCGATATGCAGCCAAATATGTTTTATACTTACCTGTCTTCCAAGTGACCGTTTATTGACTTTTCCGCTGGTGTACAGTGTGTTACAATAACATCTAAGCTCATGACCGTCGGCGGCATGCAACCACTAAATCGACAAGCGGAAAGGAGATCTGTTGTTTTGGATGTATCAGACACGTTACTCCCTCATCGCTCTTTTCCTGCCTTTAGACCTGCCGATTTTCAAAAACTACAAGGCTTTTTTCGTCCTTGTCACAGAAATAACCCTGCCTGGAAGTTTCATATAAATTGAGCGGACATGTTTTTTCCTGATGAACATCCAAAACAATATATTTTCTCAGTTTTTTGCGATTATAAAACTTCCTCGCGAGGATAGTGGAAAACTTATAGTTCTCAGTAGCATTTGACTATATATTGTCTATAATCTTTCCTAGATGAGTTAAAAAATATTATTTAAGAAAGCTTTCTGTAAAAAAGGTATTATGCGCTGTATCTATAAATGGTGCGCAAAGCCAGTATGCTTTTAATTTCATTTAGATTAAAATAGCCTACAAAAACTTTAATATCGTGCAGAGAACATTTTCGCCGTCGAAAGAAATGCATAGTCGCTCTCGTGATTTTATTAAAAGAACTTTTGGTTCGTTGGAGGTTTAATTGGAGCGAATATCTGGAAAAACTTCCAGGAGCGAAAACTTCTGGAATTCCGAATACAAGAAACAACACTTAACGTTCAAGTAATAATAGGTACTCGCAGAGTTTTATACATTTTAATCCTTTAAGACTTATGAAAACTGCTTGAACATTTTCAAAGCTCGAGTTTCCCATGTACACATTGCTTTAAAAGTGATTTGCTACTCGAAACTGGAGAGGTAATTCAATATCTGTTAATAGCTGCAAGTGAGGAAGCTGTGATATCTATTATAGTACCGTTGTTAAGGGGTGACCTTTCTTTACTGGAATAAGACTCCCGAGTTTTTCCCTGCGAGATATATAGTCGCCCGTAGCCAGGATAGTTTTTTGTAATGTAAATTTCATATAACATCCAAAAAACGTGATATCTCCTTTTCCGAAATCTTTAGCGATTTTCGGCAAACTGGTGTTAGAGACAATTTATACAAAGCACTAGTTCTTGTAAAAAAATCTAAGTAAACTGAAATCTAGGAGCATTACTTAAGTGAGGAATCGTTATTTGAAAAAAGTTTTCGGCCAACTAGAAAAGTTCAAGGAATCTTATGAATAGTGATCTTCAAAAAGGTAACCCCCCTACTTATTTTTTGAATGAGTCAAGTCAATAGGCTGCGGTGTAATGAAATTGATGCATCGATACTATAAAAGAAGACTAATATACCCTAGCTTTTTGATGATTAGTTGTTCAGTAAAAGCGACTCAATGTACTAAGACGTTTAAGATTGCCAGACATTTTTAATACTGGTGATTTTATATTGTGGGGTTATAAAGAAGTCATAAGAAGTTCTGAAAGCAGGTATCGCACATTTTCCCATTCCATTTACAAAATGTTCCCAGACGTAGCCCAGTCGCCACCTTTAAATTTTCAACTGCTCCTCATACGCAAGAACATAATATCTATGGATTAGTTTCATTACCCGCAATTTGAGCTCACTAACTAGACCCGTTAAGAAACAAATTAGGAAGAGGGGCTTTTTGAAATGCACAACTTGCATTATTCAGAACCAACTAAGTATTATCGTTATTTGCCTTAGCTCACCTAGCAGAATTCTCTAAAATTCTTCCCGGTTCCCCGAAAGACGATAAAAGTAAGCTTTGGACTAAGCACAAAGGCGGGTTACCCGTTCCGAAATACTCTTTCTTTCCAGCTACGCCATTTCAGTAAGCAGGTGCTGTGTAGTCAGCCTCTTGTAAAAGTCAACAAATTTATGAATAACTTAAACGCGTCCGTCTCCGGAAAAGAGAAATATCCTTGTTTCCGCTATAAAATATTACTAAAGACTCTTAGGCCAGAAAGTTCCATCGTAAGGAGTTTTCCAGGGGCGGCAAAAAGAACTGCTTTTAAAGGAAAACACTTTCACCTATAAGAACAAAATATTTCGGTAGTCTATTGTCCTAGACCAGTAGTCGCCAACCTTTTCAGTGTGTTGAGCCACTTTGGAATAAACAGTGAGCCACTTAGTCGTTAGCAATGTAAGCCAACTTAAATGAAATTATACACAGTTGTATGCGACATATATGAGGTTATTTTACTAATACTCATACATACTAATGAACTTAAATAAACTAATAACTAATAGATACTTTCGTCACTCACAATGGCATGTCACATACGATTTAATAAAAGTAACTAAAAATAAAAAAAGCAACGCACTATTTTAAACAAAAATATGTACAGATAAAAGTGCGTGTTCAATGAGAAGCCTGACACTCACACTCACTGACAATTTGTTTAATATTTGGAGTATAATTTGGTACCGTTATCCGAGTAGAATTATCCAAATGTTTATCTGTAAGTCGATTACGGTATTTGTTTTTAATAAACATATAGGTTGAACCAAATAACGCTTTCCCTTTCAAGTCGACACGACCTAAAACTGAATATTTATCTTTACTTACTGAAGGCCAGATTTAACTATGGCAGATATGAATATTAAAACGTTTCAGCACTCTTCTCCTACTCAACCATCGGACCTCAGAGTGAAGAAGTAGTTCCCCGTATTGACAGTCAATTTCATCGGCCTAGGTTTTGAATGATCTTCTTTGTAACGCTTGAGCTCTAACCTTGTTCACAATTTTGACTTCCAAATTCATAACGTTGCTTAGTTTTTGAAAATGGGTACATAATGCTTGCTAATGGATAATGCAGTGGTAACAGAGAAATTGCGGAAAACTTTCATCTTTACGACATAACCCCACGAGACCCCTATCACGACCCACCATAGCTGGAGCGGCAGCGGTTGTCAAGCCTACCATTTTCGATATTGGAATTTTCTCTGGAGCAATAATATTTTTAAAAGAAGGAAACAAACCCTGCCCAGTAGTATGTCCTTTTGGTGGAATAAACTTCAAAAGTTCTTCTTTAGTCGTA